GCCGCAGATTCCAGTTCCACAGGAGGCGACCCCATGCCGGAATAGAACTGTTCCCGGGCTGACTTCACAAGTCAAGCGGCCGGGCCTCTGGGGAGACCCTCATCTCCAACCTCTGGGTGAGTTGCCAACCACCCAGGGGCTCTGCCCCTCCCTGCAGGGTCTGGACAAGGAGCCGGTGAAGACACCGGAGGAACCCAGTGTGTGTGTGGGGGCACAGAAGGCGGGGCTATTAATAGTCATAACCTCTGGGCAGTCCCCTAACCCCAAGCAGGGGCCGGCTTCTACGCAGCACAGAAAATCCTGCCCTCTTGGGGCACCCAGAAATTCTCACACACACCACCACCGCCCCCCTCAAGACTGAAGCTATTTATTGTTGGGGAGAATTCGATAAATCAATGCATGGAAACACCTGGACCAGCGTTTCCTAAGGTGGGCGAGGGCGCACCCTCAAAGCGTGGCAAATCTAAGGGGGCACCAAAGCAGGTCCCTACAGCCGGTCCTGGATGATGAGCCCTGGCAGGGGACCGATGCTCCCAGGCAGCTGACTCAGGCCAGGTCAGCACTTCCCCTGTGAATGGCGCTATTCAGACCCTGTGTAGGGGCCAGGCCACAGACCACGCCCAGGCTGAGCCTTCTCCAGAGCTCCAGGCTCGGCTCTGGGGGCCGGTCAGAGAGGGCTGTGGTCCCCACTGTGGTCTGGGACCAAGGACAACCCTGGGTAAGCTGCCTGGCTGGCCTGGGTGTGCAGAGCCTGAGGGGAATGGGGACTCTCAGGCCTGTCTTGCAGGGGTGGGATTTCTGTCCCATTTGTAGGCATGACTGTCCACCTGCCCCATCAGCAGAGAGTGGCTCTAAGGCAGAGGGACACCAGACAAGGAGCTAGGGAACAGGGAGAGGTGGGCTTGTGGTCCTACCTATCAGACTTGCCCGGGCGCCCCCAAGCCAAACCTTTGCCTTCACTCAATGCTTAATATTGGAGTCACAGATGGGCCCGGGCTCGGCCTCTGGGGCTGGGCCGAGCTGTGACCACTGGCCCCAGGCTAGTGTCCCCTCCAGCACCTCCTCCCCCACCAGTCTTTGCCCTAGAGCTCAGCGTCGGACACTGCAACTGTCAGGTGGGCTCTTTTCAGAGGGAGGGCGGGCCACCATGAAGCCACTTCAGGTTGTCACCCTGTGGTGGATGCTACTGCTGCTGCCCAGGCTGGGGGCCACCAGGCAGGCCGCCCCCGAAGAGGGTTCCTTCTACTATGGAACATTCCCGCCCGGTAGGTCCAGTCCTGTCAGTCTGTCCGTCTGCTTGCCTTTCCCCTGGGCCGGCGTGCCAAGCACTCTGGTGTTTGAGCTTCTCCAGCAGTAGCAGGGAGGGAATCGGGAACACAACTCCATGGGCTTGCTCCGAGATCGGAGAAGCTCGAACAGAGGGGGGAATGCGGCTCAAGACTCCAGTGGCAATGTTTCCTTCTGAGTCGGAATCGATAATGGCAGAAGCTAGACAGACAGTGGGTGCTGATCAGAGGTGAGGGCGGAGGGAGGCATGGCGGGGGTTGGGGAGGGGGCCCGGAGGCACAGCCCAGCTTGGGGGTCTCTGCCTGGTCTGCAGGCTTCTCCTGGGGTGTGGGAAGTTCTGCCTACCAGACGGAGGGCGCCTGGGACCAGGACGGAAAAGGTCCAAGCATCTGGGACACCTTCACGCACAGCGGGAAGGGCAAAGTGCTGGGGGACGAGACCGCAGATGTGGCCTGTGATGGCTACTACAAGGTCCAGGTGTGTGTGTGTGTGTGTTATGTGTGTACATACGCCTCCTAGCTGGGAGGTTTTGGGGAACCCGGTGACAATGCTAACTTAGTGCTCTAACACCCCATCATAGTCAGGAAACTGAGGCCTGGAGCAGGGACAGGGAAATTCCTGGCTGAATGTGGTTCCCCTGGGGCCAGGCGTGGGGCAGTAGCCAGCCCTGAGCCAGGACCTTAGCCAAGGACTTGGGTAGCTGAAGAGTTCGTGCTGGTACCATAACCCAGAGGCTACAGCAGCCTAATTGTGAATTTCTCCCTAGCCCCTAATTGTGAATTGCCACCTCCCTCATTCTTAGTCCCTCCGCCCACCACCCATGTCCTCTCTGGATGGACTTCTAGGGAGCTTCACTCAGGCTTACCAGGCACACCCCACCTGTTGGACTGACCTGCATTTCAGGTGCCCTGTGGCATATCCCAGCAAGCCATGGGGGCAGATGGTACTGCACTTACTGCTCAGAGGGGAAAGGGCTCTCTCCCCGCAGCCCCAGGGGCTAACCACGAGTAGACCTTAGCCCTGCAGTCCTGAGCCTCCTGGTAACCTAGGTGGCCCTGCCTGCTCCCATCTCCGCAGGAGGATGTCGCTTTGCTGAGAGAGCTGAATGTGAGCCACTACCAGTTCTCCCTGTCTTGGCCCCGACTCTTGCCCACTGGCATTCGAGGTGAGCTAGGACAGATTCTCTCTAGTCCAATTGTGGCCCTCTTTGGGCCACAGCTGGTTTTGCAAGTTCTGGGTGGGAACCAGACCTGTGGACTAGATTGCAGCTAGCAGGAGCTCTGGGCATTCCACAGGGACTGGAGGTTCCACGCACGCACACACACACAGCCTCAGGGCCCAGGAACACTGCACTTCAGAAAGCCAAGGGCAACCTGCCGCTTGGAGTCCCCTTGCATTCCACCTACAGCTGACCAGGTGAACGCGAAGGGCGTCAAATTCTACAGTGATGTCATCGACGCGCTGCTGACGAGCAACATCACCCCCATCGTGACCCTGCACCACTGGGACCTCCCACAGGTGAGGGCTGTGGCAGGCCAGCCTGGCTTGGGGACCTGTCGCCACAGAGGCAGCGAGGGTTGGTCAAAGGGCTAAGGTCTTGGCTGTGGACAGGAAGGCAGGCACGCCCCTGGCCTCCACAGGCTGCTTTCAGGGGTGCCGGTCATTTCCGGGGGTAAACGTACCATTTGACGCTTTCCTAAACATTGGGCATGACAACAGCAAGGAAAACACTGTGGAGAGACGTCCTGACTAGGATTTGGTGACGTGGCATATTGACAAGCTGGCTCGGCCTTACCCCTCCCCCCCACCATCCCAACTGGAGCCAGCATCTCAGACGTGCACCCTAGTCCTGTCGAGGTGACACGTCGGGCTGTGACCCGCATGGCTGGTGGCTCAAAATCACCAGCAGCCCTGAGGGAGACAGCCTGGGCTTTCTACTCCCGTGACCAGTGGCAGTCCCGCAAACCCACGGGGCGCTCAGGGTCAGCGCTGAGGCGATGGCAGTGAGTGAGTGTCACGTCACGTCCCGCCCTCCGCAGCACAAACCTGAGCAGCTGAATGTTCCAGAGCCGTTCCGGGCCCAGAGGCCTCCTCGGCACTGCCACTCAGCCGTGTTCCAGCGACTGTCTCCTGCTCCCCACGAGGCTCAGTGGCTCGGGGCTGGAGAATGATTCTGGGAAAAGGGGCCTTCCGGGGGCCGGGGACGGAGAAAGGCTTCGGGGCATTGTCCAGAGGGCAGCTGGTTTGAAGGGTTCAGGGAGAGGGCGAGGCCACAGGGTGACTGTCGGGAGAGCTGCCAGAGGTGCTGGCTGGGCTTGGGATGAATTAGAAGCCAACTTCCGGCCTCCGCCCAGCTCACCGCCCCTGCAGCACCCGAGCCAGAGGGTGAGGCGGGCAGGGCCTATGGACTGCCATGGCCCCTTGTCGGAAGAAAGGCTCTGTCGGGGGAGAGAGCAGGCCTCCAACCCCGCCCAGGCCTTTCACGGCCAACCCCGGCGCCCCTCTCATGAGAACTTCACACTCAATGCCCCCCATGCCCTTGGGCTTCTCCTCTTGCAGCTGCGTCACGGACACGTGTCTCGGACACGTGTGTCTCGGACACGTGTCTCGAGCGAGCGCAATCCCCCTCCTGTTGTGTGCTGTCCCCGGCTGGTCTTGCTTTGATCCATCACCGCCACCGTCCTGTGCTCCCCGGGCTTTGTGAAGGGGGCTCTCTAGACACCATCAGCTTCCACCTGCGCAACCAATCGGCCCCCAAAAGCCTTTTCAAGGGACGGGCCCTGAGGACACCCGTGTCTCCTGCCATTGTCTGCTCACAGCTGCTCCAGGTGAAATTCGGCGGGTGGCAGAACAGGAGCCTGGCCAACTACTTCCGGGACTACGCAGACCTGTGCTTCGAGGCCTTTGGGGATCGAGTGAAGCACTGGATCACCTTCAGTGATCCGCAGGTAGGCCAGGTCTCTCTTCAGGGGCTTAAGCCCATGTCCCTGAGCAGAGCGCTGCTGGCCACTTCTCACAGTGCCGGGGTTCCTGCAGGCGATGGCGGAGAAAGGCTATGAGACCGGCCGCCACGCACCCGGCCTGAAGCTCCCGGGCACCGGCCTGTACCAGGCGGCACATCACATCCTTCAGGTGAGACGGGCTGGGGGGTCCTTCTGAGAAGGCGGGCCTCCACGGTCACCTCAGCCGACCCCAGGACCCCCCTGTGAACTCCCACCGTGCTCCCTGGCGCCCCGCTCCTCCTCGCCCTCCCCGAAGATCAATGGGGCCCTGGGAGCAGGCCCTGCTCTGAGAGGCTGTGGCGACTGCTCTTGGCGCTTACAGTCGGGCCCAAGGGGTGGAAATGGCTTGCCTCTGTGAGGAATGGCGACAGGAAGGAGGTGGGGGGACCACAGTGACCAGCAGCGGTGAGAAGGAGGGGCCTGAGGGGCAGCCAAGTGTCAGGGGGAGAAGGCAAAGGGGGCCGACCATGGTCAAGGGGGTGAAGGTGGAGAGGGAGCAGAGTCACGTGACTTGACAGGGTCAGCCTGGGGATACGGATGATGAGTGAGGGGCAGGGATGGCACCTTCAGAGAGCAGACAGTCGTTCCAGCAGAAGGGGACACTGGAGACACCCCGGCATAGGGCCAGGGGAGAAACTTCCCATCCCATTTGGCTGATAATTTTCACCCGACGACAACGATTCAAAGGGCAGAGTTTTTAACAATGAAGGCTGGAGGAGGAGGAGGTCCCTTGTGAGCCTTCCTAGCAGACTGGATATGGCTCGATATGACTTTGAGATGTTCCTCTTCATCAGGCAATCCCGACATGCCCAACAAGTCACGCTTCCGTTGAGTTTTCTGCCTGACAAAGGGCAGGGCAGGTGACACGCCCGTGTTGGTCGCCTGTAGATGCCCAGGTCTCTCGGCATCCTGCTGGCGTGAGGGGTGCCTGAAGGTCTTGTGAGCACCAACTGCCAGGCCCACCTCGGAGTTCTGGTGTAGTCGGATTTTTGCCAGGACTCCAGGGTGTCTACCAAGTTCCCGGGGGAAGCTGAGTCTTGGTCGGGAGAGCCCACTTTGAGAAGCACTGCTCTGGATGACCTCCCACAGCCTCAGGTGCTGAAGCGACCTTTCAGGAGCTTCTTCAGCAGGTCAGGGGTGACTGGCAGGAAATTGGGAGAGAGGGCGGATTGGCACCTTTTAGTGCCACTTCTCAAGATTGTTCTAGATGTTTGCCGTTTCCCTCGAGTACAGAACACCGATGGGGAAAACACAGACTCGGTGTTCCAGGGGATGAAGAGGGATCAACAAGGACTTCAGCAGACATCTGAGACACGGCAAATAGCATCACAGGCTGGCTTGTGGTTCAGGCCGAGTTTGCCCTTGAGGACAAAGAGGTCCCATGTCTCAGGTGGAGGGAGGTCATAGGCTGGGGTCCCGAGGGTGGACTCATGAAGGTGCTGCTCACGTGGTGTCCTAGGAAGGAGAGGGATGGGGAACGAGTCAGGCACCTCGGTGACGCCTTGCCCCTCTTTTAGGCTCACGCCCAAGCCTGGCACTCTTACAACACCACGTGGCGTGGCAGGCAGCGAGGTAAGCTTCCCCTCCCAGACATGTGCCAGGGGAACTGGGCACTCCAATCACCCTCTTCTTCGTACCTCTTCCTATAAGGTGTCGTGGGGATTTCATTGAACTGTGACTGGGGAGAACCTGTGGACATCAGGAACCCTAAGGACATCGAGGCTGTGGACAGATACCTCCAGTTCTGCCTGGGCTGGTTTGCCAACCCCATCTATGCCGGCGACTACCCTCAAGTCATGAAAGACCGTATAGGTGAGCCAAGCCAGACAACGAAACATCACCTACTGAGCTCAAGGGAGGCCCAGCCCCCAGATAACTGAGAACGGGCAAGCAACAGGGAGCAGACCCAATCCCTAGGCCTGCAGATCAAGGGTGCTGGAACTCAGAGATTTAGAACGTCTGTTTCTAGGCTTCCCTCGTTTGTCTTTAGCGGCCGTCTCCTCCCAACTCCCCTCGGTTTTATCTGCAGTGGAGAGGAGGGACGGCAGGTCAGTGGTGGGTTGATGGGGCTCCTGTGGGCTCTTTCTGTCACTGGAGAAACACTTCCCAAGTTCTAGTTTCTGGTGGTTTTGAACAGCCGACTTTGTGGTTAGCAGCCCAATGCATAACCACTACATCACCAGGGCACCAAGACTCCCATACAGAGCATGCCCCTTGTGAGACAGTGAAGCCCAGGCAGACAGCGTCTAAGCGCACCAACCTACGAGTTAGAGACATTACACCCATCCCCCACAGAGACAACGCTAACATTGGAATGGGCTACAATCTCCCATGTTCGATGGGTGATGAAACACAACATTCCAACAACTCCCCTTCCTAATTCATCAAGCTCGAATTCCACCTCTGCCACCAACTGGGCAGTGAGACCTGGACCAGGTGCTCCACGTCTTTGGATCGCCAGCTCCCGGTCGGGAAATGAAGGGATGACATGAAGCAACCCCAGAAACTGGGCCACAGCCAGTTGTGCAGCACCCTTGAGGGAGCCCTGCAGGAGGGGGCTAGGCAGCCCATAAAAGTAGCCAGGCAGCTCTGCAGGAGCGAGGCAGCAGTCCCTGTGTGTAGCGTTCAGCCTCGACCAGGTCTCTTCCATCCTACAGGTGACT